GGTGATGGTATTTAAGCCGGAGATATCCGGGCCTCAGGATCTYGGATTAGTGTCAGCTCTCATGTGGCAAGGGGAAATTAGGCATGCAGAGGCTGTCTCTGTTTATGATACGGGGTTGTTAGGCGCTTCAGGTACTGTCATTCTTATTTAAGGATATACTTAAGGATTAGCGGTAAGAAGTCCGGCATTAGCAGGGGCGCARTGAATGCGAGCGGGCTTAGGCTCCGAGGGCTTATTTTTGATGATCACCGCGCGAGCTTCTTGAGCGGAGATGAGCTCCAAGATGGGGGGAGCGATCCATGTATTTCTGCAGGAAGAGGAAAACCTTTCGCCAGAGATTAGGACTCGGCCACGGCGGCGAAAAGCGCCGCAACTCCCCAAATCTCGCGGGCTGCGGGCATTTTTGGGGGCTGGAAAACCATTTCCCATGAGCAACACCCCTTGGTGTGCAGGAGAGCAGGCTGCAGGCGGAAATTGGGAGGTTTGGGGGCTTATTCCGAGGTTTTCTGTGAAACTTTGCTGAGTTTTGGGGATAAACATCCCTCCAAGGAAGGGCCCTTGGCACAAGGCGGGTGGGTGCCCGCCGCTCTCCATTACTTATGCGCCTCCTGGAGCTGAAACAATTGCTATTATCCCGCATCATATTGCATGACCTACATTTTTACTTGAAAGCCTCCAGCTAATAATTAGTTTGAATTGCGATTTATAAATAAACGCATTCATATTCTGGTTTAAAAAAAAGGGGAAAAAAATACACGTGCATAAGCAAGGTGTGGGAGCGGGAGGTGGGGGAAGCAAAAGAGCCTCTCGGGGTAGCAAATCCCCACCTCGCTCTGGCAAACTCTGTTTTTTTGGGGAAAAAAATGRGGTTTTGCTTGTTCTATAGGTTTGCTTGGCAAGTGAGACTATATGAATGTGCTGGGAGTGCACATGGATGAGCTTGGCCTGTCTCCAGGGGTTAGTGCTCGTGTGGCTTTGGTGGTGGCACCCGCTGGGTGCTGTCCTGTGTGGTGGGGCCTCAGGTGCCGTTTTTACCCAGCAAAAAAAGGCAAATCYTTCCTTGGGTCTTGGGCGATTCCATGCGGCAACGTGATGCATAAAAACCCTCCCTTTTCTCAGCTTTTGTAAGATTTCTGGTCCGTTTTGCGTGCCCTTAAGCAGCCCCCCAAATGGGAACCGCCTTTGGGAGGTTTATTCCTATTTATCACAGCAGCCTCGTGGGCGCCGGGTAGAAATCCCTGTATCTGGAGATGCTATCGAGGAGCGTCGCTCTTCACGCACCGCTTCCCGACGCGGAGCTGGGCTCTCCGGCCACCGGGGTTATTTCTATGGAGAACCGAGGGCGGCCGTGGGGGGAACCTGCACTATTTGTCTCTTTTTTTCTTAACGGAATTTCCAGCCGGAGTGACATTTTCAGCAACAAATAATCACGTTAGGAATAACTCATTTCAAGAGTGAGCCACGGCGAGGCGCTTGCAAATGAGAAAATCATACAGTGGCATCCTGAGAACATCCAGGTCCTCCGCTCCCGTTTCCAGGGCTGTTTCCCTCCCTGTCTCTGCTGACGGTCCGGCCTGGCCGCGTCTCGGGCCTCTCTTTTCAGGTGCTCGAATCTGTTTAATCATCTGCAAATTTCTCTTCCTCTTCCTCTGATAAAAAAYTAAGTCTTGGGCACTTCTTGAAGGCTTTTTTTTTCTCCTTCCTGCGCTCCGTGGGGAGTCAGAAAAGCTTTTCCCAGAGAAATAAAATAAATAAAAATTAGAGTTCAAAGGGTGATATCTCTTAAGAGGATGAAGGGGGCGAGCAGCAGAAGAAAACACATAGATTGTTGCAGAYGCGACATCAAAATGGGAAGCTATAAAGGATGCGTTTTCAAAGGTTTATACAGGGACCAAGCTGGTTCTGTGGGAAATGGGCAAGGAAAGTTGTTCCCGTCACTTTGCTTCCATGGGAATGTGGTTATGTTATGTTATTAATTTGTTAATTACAAGGAAGGCAGATTGCTCTTGGCTTAGCTTGCCAACCSATAGCTTCTCTCCAGCCTCTTGCACCCCTTTCCTGAGTCCTCCTCAGCTCCAGCTCCTTCCCTGGTTCCACCTAGGTGTCTGGTAGGATTTTTCCCAGGAAAGCAGCTGCTCTTGCAGTCCCTCCTTGGSTCAATCACGGGACGGTGCAATATGCATTTGTGTGGTGCCTGCACGAGCGTCCCAGGGCTTGCTGCAGCCTTCCAAAGCTGATTAAGGTGCAACCTGCAACGTGGGTGCTTATCATTTGCTGTGCAACCCGGAGCGGGATGGGCGCTCCTACGGCATCCGTAATTCCTGCAGCCGGGACGCTGCTCCATGCTCTCGTCCCGGCTGCATGGGGGGCTGAGCTGCAAAAGTTATTTGGCCTCTCGAGTTGGTCTCACGAGTGGCACCAGCTGTTGGAAGCGTTGAGGGGAAGGGAGGGCGGAGCGCCATAAATACCCGGGGGAAAAAAAAAAGGAAGGAAATGTGAAGTGGTCCTTTAAAAAGGAGCCTCCCGAGCCCRCAGCCCGAGCCGCGTTCCCTCAAGTATTCAAATGAGATTGCAGCATCAGATTGGTATGCATTAGGCTGGTCTCAATGAAAATTAACATGTAATTGCTTCAAATGAAGTAAGTGAGGAGGTAATCTGTTCTTAAATTGGATTCGCAGGATTTTGTGGTACCATAATGCAGCTGTGAAATGAAATATTTTTTAAGGGTGATGTCCTCAAGGGGAGAGGGGAGGCGGGCACGACGGGACGTGCACGGTGGGTGCATCCCCTGCCTCACCTCGCGCTCCTGATCCGCAGCATCCCGGGCCGCTGGAAGCATCTCCAATGGCCTTTAATACCCAGCACTTAATCCCGTGCTCTCGCTGGGCAGCTTTCCCGGCATCGCTTCCCATCCGTGCCCTTCATCCCTCCTTTCGCAGCGCTCCTTGCGGCCGCTCCTGGTTCGCGTCGCAGCTTCCAAGGCACAACCGCTCTCGGGATCCTTTTCCTCGTGCCAAGTTAAGTGCCTTGTTTCCTTGTGCATTGCAGGTAGAGGAGAGTATCAGCAGGAGCTGAACGTCCCCGACTCCCTGGATGCTCCCCCTTTTCCGTGTTTCCTTGCCCCGTGCGCTTGCCGAAGGCAGCTTCCCGGGAGTCGTTTGCAGCCCGCCGTATCCCGGGCAATGAACCGAGGTGGATCTTTCGGAGCCCGGCGTGTTGTTATTAATGCAATTAGCGCGAATCATTTGCATGTGCAAACTTTCCGTGGAGGCAATCAGGTGCTTTGCAAACACGCGCTAACTCGCCTTCCCTGCAAAGGAGGCGCCAGGAAAAAGCCTTTCCGAGGGCAGGAATGAAGGGCAGGGAGAGGATGGGCTCTGCTGCTGGGGCAAGAGGCTGTTTCCATGCACCGCGGATGTAGCTCTGGTCTTTATCCAGACCCTCCCTGCAGCTTTTCCAGTAAATACACGCGCCAGAACGTTTGCAGCTTCTAGGGCTCCTATGGGGGAAATTATACGGAGGCAAGGAGTCTCCCCAGACTGGTTAACGAGGGACCCCGTGGCATCCTAAGCGCGCCCTGGAGCTGCTCTCCGGCGCTCGTCCTTGCTCGCTCTGCCCCTCGGGGCAGCCCCGGGGTGGCCGATGGGTCCGTGCTTTGCTGCGGGATTTATGATCACCCTGTTCGCGCTGGAGCATCGATATCGTAGGAGAGCGGTGGGACTCGGTGCCTGCAACGGGACTGAGCCGTTCGCAGCCTGCCCTTTAATCAATCCTAATAAATARCAATAAAAAGCGATAAGCACGGGGATAAATGCAGGAGGCGACGCTGCGGGCTGCCTGGGTTCATCGTTTATCGCATGGGGTGGTTGGCGCCGGGGCGGCGAGCTCCTTGGGAGGCTCTSCCAGGTTTGTGCGACCCGGAAGGGCCAAGACGCGTCCGTCTCCAACAGGGAGCTGCTCCGGACGGTCTGTCCGGATGGGGCTGGCGGGGGAAGGCGAGAAGCTCACTTGAATGCAGGGCCAGGGAGCACGCGGAGGAGATAAGAGGAGATTGGGAGCGGGTGCTGTGAAGGGCGAAAGCACCTATTTCCCTGCCGCCTCATGCGTTACCTGAGCCCCGTGGCTCTTCAAAGGCGCTTAAATGCCTCTACGATAGCGGGAATGCTTGGATTACACACTCGCTGGCTCCATTATTATCCAGGGATCTCCAGGCTGATGCATTTCACCCCCAAAAAAGTAGCGTGGAGGAGAGAGGAAATCTGTATTTTTAGTTCAGCCTGCTTACCGGCCCTCTGTGGTAATCTCTGCGGAAGRGATTGGTCCGAAAAATTCAATCCACGTCGGGGTTTTCATTACCCTGGGCTCCTCTCTGCAACGTGGCTTTAGCATTAAAGGTGCTAAGGAGAGTGGACAGTGTCTTTTTTTAACATTGCTGCTAAATGTTGCGTTTGCAGGAGCCTTTCTGGTTGAACGTAGGGAAGACAGGGGCTAAATATCCCCCTGCATTTGCTCTGAGAGCCCGAACGGCAGAGCACAAATAGGATAAAATAGGATAAATAGGATAAAACCTTCTTTGGGGATGGGCTGTCAACTTTTGTTCTTGGGGTCTGCTCAAGCTGTAACGCAACCGAGACCTGGGCGAGCCAGCAAGGACAGAGATCTTGGTGTGCAGCCCAGGGTGAATCTACTGCCTTTTTATGTAGCTACTAAAACTCTGCTCACGTGGAATTTATTATTATCGTCATATCATTAGAGAACAGCAGTCAAATTGCTTAATTTATCTGATGATGGGCCAGTACTTTGGGTTCTGGCCTCGAAAATCCATCTCTCCTCGGCAAAGCGCCGCGATGGGCTTTCCTGCTCCCTGGCTCTAGATGTTTTGTGTTGAGATGGAGCCGGTTGTGGAAAGGGAGGATTTGAGCATTGGGAGTGCAAGGATATGGGCTCGTTCAGTACTTTCACCTTGGATTATTCCGGGCTTGTTGTCCTTATCCGCCTAGGTGGGGATCTCGTTAGTTCATCTGGAATCAGGAGGCACTTTGGTGTCTCCAAGTCTGAAGGAACTGCAGTTCTTTGGAAAACCTCACGGGCCACCGTTTGGGCTGGATTTTGGCGCTTGGGATCTTGTGGCCGATCAAGTGCTGGTGTTGTCCTCTTTGGAGAACGACCGAGCTTGGTCTTTGCAACTGCTGCTCGCTCAGAATAACGCGCCCGGGAGGTAGGGGATGGGAAAGGTGACGGAGGGGACAGCACGAGGCTAACGCACGGCCTCTGTCTCTCCCCAGGTGCTCCGTGGATAACCGAGTGACGCGGGTGGCCTGGCTCAACCGCAGCAGCATCCTCTACGCGGGCAACGACAAGTGGTGCCTGGACCCRCGCGTGGTGCTCCTGGCCAACACCAAGACGCAGTACAGCATCCAGATCCAGGACGTGGACGTGTACGACGAGGGGCCCTACACGTGCTCCGTGCAGACAGACAATCACCCCAAGACCTCGCGCGTCCACCTCATCGTGCAAGGTAAGAGGGAGGCACGCGGGTGGCGAAGAGGAGCTGGGTTTGGTAGAGCAGCTTCCGTGCAGTCTCCTTGTCCCGTTTTTGCCCGGTTTTACCCGTAATTCCATCTCCTCCATCCTCATCCCGGCCGTCCCGCTCCCCCTTTCCCAGGCGCTCTGACCCCTCTCTCCATCCCTCTGCCCTAGAAGGTCCAGGGCAATGGTGGGGTCTTTAGGAGAGTCCTGTTGGAGCTGGACAACATCCAGACCTTTGTATTTGCATTTACTTGCCTTTCCTAGAGCAGATGCTGATAGGGGAAGAGCCATTTCCCCAAATATTCGTTTATACTTGTGTTTTTGGCGTTTCTTTGCTGTATTTCGGTCTTTGTTGCTTCGCTGGAGGCAACGCTCACAATAAATTTTGTGCTGGGGACAAAGATGCTGCAAGAGGGACATACGGGGACCGGAACGGTCCTGGTGCCGGCAGCCTGCGGGGGGATTAATGGAAAATTTCTAATCCCTTGCTTGCAGCTCCTTTTATTTTTCCCTCCCGCCGCGYGGCGGCCAGCAGCCTCTTAGCACGCCGCGCGGTCTCGAGTATTGGAATTTCATCTCGGGCTAATTTTCCGATGCTGATGGGCGTATCGATCGGGAAACCAGCTGGGTTAAAAAGGCATCGCTCTCGCGCACGGAGCCGGCTTGAGCTAATCCGCCGTCGATAGGCCCGGCCCGCRCGGTATCGGCAGCCTAATGAATGGGAGAGGGGAGGAACGGGGCTTTTTCCTTCCCTTCSCTGCCCTTCTCTTTCCTCCTGGAGCAATCAGGAGTTTGGAAGTTGCTATCAGGCCGTGCCGGGTGATTTATCGCGGCTCCGCGTGGGATTCCCGGGGGAAGGAGCGCGCTTGAGGCTACCCGGGTTGGGGATGCTCCCCCCAGGGAGCAAATCACTTAAAAATAGCAAGGAACGGGGCCTGTTTCTATTAGATTGATTGCGTTGGTGGCCGAGATCCCAAAATAGGTCGGTGAAGGCACCTCTGGAGCTAATTTAGCCCCTGTCCCTGCGCCGAGGCAGCGCCGGCGCCTGCAAACACGTGTGAAAACCTCTGACGAGGCAGATTCTTCGGTCTCCCCGGGCCATCATTCCTCCGGTTATAATTAGAAAACGCACAGCGAATATCTAACTTAAACCTGCTTTGTTGCAAACGCGGTGGAGTTTTTCCCAGGCTGGCCCCAGCGGAGGGAAGGGACCATTGATCAATGTCCCCTTTGCGGCAGCCTCTCCCTGCCTGCAAGGGTGTTAACTTTGGGCACGCGGCGCTTTTGGCTCCTGTTTCCACCCTCCTACCTCTTTGCCCCTGCATCGTCCCCCTTCTCCCCATTCCCTGCGGGACATTTGGGCTCTTTGAAGGCCCGTGCGCCCGTGTTTCTGGGCTTGGGAAGGGAGGTGGTGGCATCCAGGAGGCCGCTGGCTGCAAAGCTCTATTTGTCTCGATMAGAAGCTGTCCCCGAGGCGCCGGCGAAGCGCTGCCCCTGCCTTGTAAGATGCATTAAGAGAAGTTGCCCTTATCTCGGCGCGGGGAATGGACTCGGCGAGGGAGGCTCGGTGCCTGCCGGAGTTTAATCTCACTTAGACACACGCATTTGCATGATAGGAAATGGTGGAATTTGAGCGCCTCGGAAGAAAAGAAGAAAAAGGGAAGGGGGAAAAAAAAAAAAAAAAAGGCGGCGGGGGGATATTAGCGCTTGGCTGTTTCTTTATCGGTGTCCGTGGCCCCGTCTGGCTCTCGCCGCTGTCACTGCAGCAACTCGTCACCTCCCTCCTTTTGCTTGGTGCAAATGAGTTTTCCCTCGGCCGCGCCGGCCCCGGCTAATCTGCAAACCCCGGGCCCCGTTTGATGGCTAATTACCCGGGGACCCGTGCCCGCGAGCGCCCCGACCAGGTGTGCGCGGGGAGATAAAGCGKCCGGCGCGCTCGTCGCTCCCCACGTGCCTCCGTGCTCGCTCCCCGTGCACCCGCCTGCTCCCTGCTCTCCGGTCGCGTTGCACGTGCCAAGCTCTGCCCGCATCCTGCGGCTCCGACGGGAGCCGTGCGGGGATGGCGGAGAGGAGCCAAGCGCGTCTCGCTCCCCCTGCCCGGCACCGCCGGCCGGCGCCGAGTCGCTTGACCCCCTTGCAGATCGATTTAACATCTGCGCGGCAGAGATAATAATTGTCCCCCACTTGGCGGGGGGGTGGCGACGAGGATTAATTCGTTAGTGTCGGCAGAGGTCTTTGAAGACGGAGCGCGCTCTCGGAGAGCCGAGCGCTGTTATTAATTAGCAATTATGTCACGGGCAGGGGAGAGAGCAGGGGCTCGCCGTCCCCGCYGCGTTGCTCCCGAAAACCGGGGCGCACGGATGGCGGCGGCGGGCGGGGAGGCCGCCGTGGGGCTCTCTGCAGCTCCGGGGGCGCCGCAATGCCGGCCGTGCCGCGCGCGCGCTCGGGCTCGCCGCAGCGCCGCGATGCTGCAGGGACCGCGCGCGCCGCCGCCGGCATCGCCATGGCAACGCGGAGCATCTTCCCGTCGCCGCGGCGGGGGACCRGGGACGCGTGCGGCGCTACGGGCGGCTCCGGGCCCCTCGGTGCCGTCCGGGGTGGGTTTTATTGGCGTGGGGCTCCCCTGTCCTAGCGCAGGTTCCTCTGCAGGGGAAGGATTTAGGGCSCTCCCTGCGCGCCGTTCCAGATCCTTCTGCCGGGCATTTTATAGCATGTGGCTGTTGCGGAGCGATAACGGTTTATATTTATATGTCATCTTTCATGGGGAAGGATCCCGGCACAGGCCACAAATCATCCCGCCGGAGCGGGCGGGCGGCGCGGCGCGTGCCGCGAGCGAGACGGGGCAGAGGAGGGGTCTCGGAGCCCCCCAAGGGCACCACACGGCCCCGTGGCAACGATGCCGTGTGCGCTTTGGTGCTGCCTCCCACGGAGGGAGTCCGAGCCGCTCATCCTGCCCGCTTGCATCCCTCCTCCGAGTGCTCGGGAAGGTTTCATGCCCAACTTGCTTGCCCTGAGCTCGTGCCAAGCGGCGGCTTCCCGGCGTGCCGAGTGAGGGATGCGGCCACCACGACCTCCTTGTCTGTCCTTCAAAGGGAGCCCCTGGGTGCCCGAGGAGCCGGGCAGCTCCGCCGCAATCTGCTCGCCGGCCGCTCCTGCCAACGCGGCTCCGGCGGGAGCCGCCTGTTTGGAAACGCGAGCGGCAGCCGCTCATCTCCCATTCAGTGCTTTTCTCCATCATTTGCTTTATTAAATATTGATCTTTGCCGTTGCATTATTAAACCCAAAGGCCGGGGCATAAATTAGGGGTTGGTACTTTAATCGGGCTCATCTTTGGGATCGTTAGAGGTGATTTTCTGCATGGTGCCCCCGGGGTTAAGTCCGGAATGGGACTGCGGATTGGCGTGAGCAAGAGATCAAGTCCGTGCCCAAGAGGACTTGCTTGTTGGAGGCCCCTTCGGCCAYGTCTCTGCAGTTGTGTTGCCCATGTGCCACCTGGCAGGTGGGAACGTGACCGTCAGGAAGCRCCAGGTGTCTTTTCCAGGCAGCGGTAGCTCGCAATCCCGGCGGGTCCTACGTGAGATGAGTTTGGTCGAGCCTAGACAGCGCCTGTTGCCCAAACATCTCTGTGATGTGCGGCCGTACGCRGCAGCGTTTCCTCCTCCACGCCAAGCCGTGCCAAGCCAGGGGACAGAAGCGGCCCCAGCCACGGGGACGCGAGCGGCTGGAGCGCGCGGTGCCGACCTGCCCTTCCCTATCACGGAGCCGCACGCGCGGAGCCCGTGCCAAGCGCTGGCACCGGCACCATCCAGGTGTCCGGGCAGCRCGGCGCCGCGAGCCTGGCGAGCTCCAAGCAAAGCGCCAAATGAGCGGCCTTTGGGCACCTTATCCGAGCGGGCAGCGCGGCTCCGGGCTCCTGGGAAGAGCGGGACGTGGTTGTGAACACGGTGCTGGAGATAAAGGGAAAGCCAAGCGCGCGGCTGCCGCTGACGAGCTCAAGGACAGACCGGGTAGTGATGTTTGTTGCGCTCGTTTTGCTTGGGCTTTGCACCAGGAGGTTGTCTTAGCTGCAGCTGCGATTGCAGCAAGTGGTTTAGCTTGGAAAAACCAGCCCGTTTTCCCCCAGAATGGCACAACCTTTCTCGGGCTGGGGCCACAGATGTGTTCCGCATGCCCGAGCGCCGCAGCCCGTGACGCTCTCGCGCTTTGGCAAGCGCTTGTCCCCGCTTGCGGAATTAATGCCTCCTTCGCGGCGTTCTCCATCCCTATCTTCTCTTCTCTTTGGCTGAGCCGGGGTGAAAAACCATTTTTCTGCTCCCCTGGCAGCGGGGCTGTGTAATCGATGGGCTCGCCAGGCTCCCGGAGGTGAAACCTCGGTGCCCATCGCTCCGTGCCCGGTCGCGCTCCGCGTGCGCGCGCCGCTCGCGGGAGCGATGCGGCATCGCCCCGGCCACCCGGCGTTTGCGGCGTGCGTGTTTCCATCCGCATCTTTCCTCCCCTGGCAAGCGAGCGGGAGTTTTGCTTTGTTTTTCACACTCCTTTTGGCTTCCTCTCCCTCTCCGTGGCTTTCGGGCACTTAAAACACAGCGAGGCCGCGGCGATTACAAGGCTTGGAGAAGCGGCGGCGCTTCCCTGCCAGCGAGTAATTGATTTATTAAAGACATTGCGGCGCGTCTGTGGCTCAGCCCCAGAGTTCCCTTGGAGCTCGCTCGGAAATCCGGGCGGATCCCGCCCGGTCGCGAGCGCCGCGGGCGGCATCAGCTCGTGCTCCCCACGTGCTCCCGCAATTTCATTCCCGTTTGATGATCCCCGTAAATATCCRCGCTCGCCGGCTGCGGTCCGAGGCGTGATCCGATTTCATAGTGTTTAAGAACTCTGACGTGCTTGTTGGCCAAAGGGAAAGGCGAGCTCTCGCAGCTGGAGCCGCCGCGAGGAGCGAAGGTGACGGGGGATGGAGACAAATGGGCTAGATAAAAAATAATGGAAARTAACTTAATTAAAGAGGGCCGAGGCGGGTTAAACGCGGCGATGGTTTTGAATCGGGGAGTCGCAGGCGTTGGAAACGGGAGAGGAAAGGAAAGAAAGGCTGCCCGAGCGGCCTCCCGAATGCATAGGCAGGAGGAGGAAGAGSGTGAGCACATCGGGAAGAGCGAGTGCTGCCCAAAAGGGTGGGCATTGCAAGMGAAATGGGCAGGGTAAAGGTTGCTTGGTGGAGAAGAGCTTCTCTCAGGTCCTCTTAGCTCCTCCGAGGGACCCGCAGACAGCTCCAGGGTGGCACTGGGGAGAAACGCGATGGATGGGCTAGCAAGTCGCTTGCTAAGAGGCACGTTCCCGGCGGGAATGCTCAGCATCCCAGCGGATGCCGGTGGGCGCAGGCCTCCCGCCTAGGAGGTAGAGCCCRGAATGGAACCAATTCTTTGCACCCTCGCTGCTCAGTTTTGTGTTTTTGAGTGCTTTTTGAGGTTAAAACCGTGGGTTTGGGGCCGGTTTCCGTGTTTCTGGAAGCTCCCCTGCCTTCCCGGGCGCGCTCCGTGCGGGAGATTAGTGTCAGTGCGCAAAGGGGAATTGCAAACACTCCTTTTGTGCTCGARTCGGGGCGAGGCGGCACACGAGGCGCCGAGGATAAGAGGCAATATGCAAGAGCACAGTGTGTTTTCCATGGAAGGGAGATTTATTTTTCTCTCTGTGTTTTTAAGCCTCTAGATGGATCATAAAAAAAAAAGGCTTGCATGCACAGAGCCTCTCTGCCTGAGATGGCCAAAATGTAATTTAAAGAGCATCGCTTAAACTAATGCCTCACTGCAGAGGCACCTGCCCTATATTCCCTGGAGGTGCTGGTTGCACCTTGGAGTTGACTTGGAGTCGTCTCTGACGAGGACACTCGAGCTCCCGTGTCCGTGCGGGGCTAGTGACGGATCCGCGCGCTCCCCATTCCCGAGGCTCGCGACCAAGCAGGGAGAGCCCCGGTTGAGGTCAGCGGTGACATCAACAGGGCTTTTCCCACTGAAAAACCCCATGTTTTCAGTGCAAGTCACGATCACCTCCCATGGCACGGCCCAGCAGAGCAGGAGAAGGTCAGACGTCCTCCCGCATCCATCGGGAGATGGTCCCGGCGCACCCTGAGATCCCGGATGTGTCGGGAGAGGGCGGGAAAGGCAGGAGGAGTGGGAGGGGAGGCCGGGAGAAGCACCTCGGTGTCAAATCCCTCGGCGGCCCTTCCCGATCTCAAGTCGACTTGTAATATTTTTCCCGAGTCCGCTCGCTCCCGTGTTTCGCCCTCGGGAGCGCGCGCGGCCCCGCTTCTCGCGCAGCCCTTAATTAGTTTCTGGCTGATGACTCCTCCGCCGAGGATCCTCTCGGCGTGTCCCTGCGATCTCGGGGGGCCGGGGAGACATCTAATAAAGACGTCCCGCCTTTGGAGGCGATGCCTTCGACGAGCTTTGTCTCGGCGAGCCCTCCGTGCGCCGGGGCTTTTCCCACGGGAATTGCATAGGGAATTGCCGTGGGAAGCGCTACCCACTCTATGGCACCTGTCTCGTTGTGTTGTACTTTTAAAGAGTAATTGCCATTAGTTTAATAGTTTAATTAGTTTAATATTAAGGTCCTTCTCGTTTCTGGGTGTCTTCCTACGGGGCTGGCTTGTAAGGGATTGCAGGTCAGGCATTGCCCCGAGTCTGCGCCTGCCTTTGGCACGCTTGCTGCTGAATTAGCACCCACGGTCGTAGCACCCTGTAAGACAAGGAGGTGTCTTCTGGGTGGCAGGTGCAAATGGGAGGCATCGGAAGCTCGGGAAGCTGCCAGGCACGTCAGAGATCGCGCGCGCTCCGCTCCCCCTTCCCTGCCGCCGAGGAGCTTTGGAGTCGCTCTCCGTGGTTGCCTTTGATCCGGAGCAGATGTCGCTTGCGTGGGAAGATGGAGGTTTCCGTGTTTTACGAGGGAGATGCCACGCGGTTGTAGCCTGATGGGGACGGCGCTCGCTTGGCTGTCGTGCACCCTGGAGCGCAACTGGAGAGCGTTCCTATCTGGACACGGATAGGGAAGCGCCGGTGTCCCCGTGCGCAACTGGCCGATCAATCCCGGCCCAAACCCTTCCCTACATCATAGCCCCGCTGCCCCATTGCTGTCTAGGGCATTTTAATGCAGACTTGTGCGGGGTGCATATCTGCAACCACTTATTTATAGAGCTTTTTCTCCCCAGCGTGGTAAAAGGCTTACGATATACCTGTTACGTCTGGAGAAAGGCATTTTGAGCAGTTCGTGCGGTTAATTATTCAAACATTTAATTAGCATACAATAACTGTCGTGTTAAATCCTGCCAGCGCACGTTTAATTTAAGGGTTAGCTAAAGACTTCGCTCCCGTCGTCGCTCTCTTTTGCTCTCCGGCCTCCCCTCTGCCTCCTCTCATCCGACGGGGGCCGAAGGAGATGCCTCAAGACCCACAAGTCTCTTCCCAGGGCTTATCCTGAGTTAACCCAGCCCTGCTATCCATGTCCTAGTCCTGTGCATCGTCCCAGAGTGTTTTCATGGAAGCAAACCCCTTTTGGCGGGATCTTTGTGCCCTACGTTGTCCCATCCCGGAGTCCCCGTCGCTCGGGGAACGTCTGATCCGCCCTCGTCCTCTGGAGCCGGTGCGCCTGGACCTGCGGAAATCCGACTCCCAGCAGCCCTTCCCAACAGAGAGCAATTCATTACCCACCTTGATTTCCACTTAAAATGTACTTTAACTACACTTCCACCTGCAAACCTTAAATCACCCTCCTGTTCACCCCAAATCCATCATTTTTTATTTTCTCGCCCGGCGCTGGCATGACATAATCCCTTGCCGAGCGGCTCGGAGCGCTTTGCGGATCAATAAATTCCCTACGTGCGCGGCAGAGGCAAGACGGGCAAGGCCGCTGCAGCCGCTCTGGCGTGGGGCGCGAGCCGGGGCTCGGAGCCCCGTTTCTTCCCGCTTTCGCCCTTCTCCTCCATCCCCCCATCTTCCCCCTTTTCCCCCTGTGTTTTACACCTGATATAATGTCGGGGAGCTGCCGCTCGCTTGGGAGAGGTAGCAGCAGGAAGGCCGCTCCTCCTTCACRCACGCTTTGAGACTTAAGCTGCAATTTCATGTTCCCCCCTTTCCGTGTCCTTGCAGTGTCTCCGAAAATCACCGAGATCTCCTCCGACATCTCCATCAACGAGGGCGGCAACGTCAGCCTCACCTGCATAGCCACGGGCAGGCCAGACCCCACCATCACCTGGAGACACATCTCGCCCAAAGGTAAGCCCAGCTTCTCTCCTAGCTTTCCTAGCGCGTCGCCGTCTTCCCGAAAAAAGGTTTTTCCCTTTTTCTCCGCGCTTGCTGCCATCCGGCAGGTTCCTTTCCCYGGGGAACCGTTACCTGCGTGCGAACCAGATGTTCCCGTTTTCCTCGGGTCTTAGCTGCTATGGAAACTGAGGATGCGCCACGAGAGGAAGAGCGAGCTCATCAGAAACGACCCGCGGCGCCGGGTAACGCGCAGCAGCGGCTCCTACCCCGCGAGGAGGCCTTCTGCTTTGGAAACTCAGCGAGAGCAAATCTCTTTGAGTGTGATTTGTGTATTTTATGTATTTYGATGTGCCTGCGTGTGTTGGCACTTTTAGGTGCCGAGCTTCTCTTCGCATCCCACGGCTCCGAGTTATTCTGGTGCCCGTCCCTAAAGCGGGRGGAGCTGCTCCCGCTCGCAAGCAGGTTCTGGTCACTCAGGTGTTTCCATAGTTACTGGGCGCTTTATTTGTTTTATTTTTTTGGGTGACTCGCAGGTTGTCATGGCGATTGCCACGGTGCCGGGCTGTTTTTCCYGTCCCTGTGGGCAAAAGCTGGAATTTTGGGCCGAGGAGGAGCAGCGCGGGGCAACGCTGACTCTCCACGTGTATTTATCCCAGCCACAGAAACGAGGCGCCCGTTGCCTCCCGTCCAGCTCCTCGGGTTCAGAGCCCACCAAGGTCCTTCTCTCCATGAGGCTCTCCCGTTGCTCTTGGGTTATTCCTGTAGCGGGATGGATTCCGGTGCATGCCATGGACAATGTGATGAGTTGGCTTGATGATGTCTTGGCTTGTAAGGAGGCTAATGGGGAAGCCTTCGCGTCGGGAATCCCTCTTAGGATTGCTCTTGGCGATGAAGGCTGTGTCATATGGATGACGATAGGGATCCTATGGAGCCGYTTGGGGCTTGTTGACAAGCTCGCCTGCCGTGCCGGGGGTAACCGCGCTTCCCGCGCCGACGGGAGGAGACATGCAGCGGGCACGGGCCCGGCGCTAATCCCAGGTCCTACGCGCGCTTAAGATAGATGAGACAGAGCGGCCTAACGCGGCGGGGGGCTCGGGAGATCATCTGTCTATGCATCCGCAGCGGAGCAGGGAAGGGAGCCTGGGAGCAGCCCYGTAGATTTGGATATGTCGATGCCCTCCGCGTCTCGGCGCGGCTCCGAAGAGCCGAGGGCCGCGGGGTTGTCTCCTGACAACCGAGTAGYGGCCACGTCTAAGGGGAAAGGAGAGGCCAACGCGACGGAGACCTCGCGAGAGGCTCCGGCGCCGTCGGCAGCTCAACCGTCCCCTTGTTTACTGTTGAAATAATTACTGCTTTGCCATAATATTAGCTCTGAGCCGTGACTCCATTACCATTATCGCCGGAATATTACCCATTTATTATCTCCCAGCAACCCTGGAAGATGAACACTAGGCTTCAGAGACCAATTGTTTTACAACAGCCAGGATCTTGGTGTGCATTGTTTAATGAGGTAAACTACATTATAGCCGGCATTAATTTGGCTGCCGGGCGCCGCACTCCGTCATCGCTAACCTGTAAATCTGCCGCCGGGTTCGACGCACGCGCCGGACACGCCGGAGGTGCCGACGCCTCCACGGTAGCCGGGAATCGGGAAGCTCGTGGGTTTCTTCCCGGCGCTGGGTCCGGAGGAGYGGGATCCGACGGCATCCAGGGCCTCGGGGTCTTGTCGGTTTGGGAAGATCCTCGTGCGCCGAGCGCTCATCCGCGGCCGGCCGCGTTTCCCGCCCCCATTGATGTGCCCTCGTTCCTCCCGCTCTTCCGGAGCACTAGGAGATTATATACTTCTCTGGATGTATGTGTATATAAGTAACGCGTTTGATTGCCCGCGTGGTGCAAATGAACCCGCTGAGCTGATTTGTTTGCACATTTGCCAGTGCCGTCCTTAAAATACGCCTTTTAGTACAAAAATAACCAGACCCCTACCAGCCTCAAATGAGGCGATGTCTTCCTCTTAAGGAAAGGAGAAATAAAACCCTCTGCGCTTCGGCATCTTCCCTAAGCCCAGCTTTGCAATGTCGTGCTCGCCCTCCTGGCCGCAGGCGAGCCACGGTGAGGTCGCCCACACGGGTGCTGGGTCCCGGTGGTGGCCGGGGATTGGGGCCGCTGGCTTGTGCCGTGGTGTCGGGGAGAGCAGGGGCTGTGCACGCGACAGGGGCTGTGCAAGCAAGAGCGGCTGTGCAAGAGCGAGGGGCTGTGCAAGAAGGGATGTGCAAGAGCGAGGGGCTGTGCAAGAGAGAAGGGATGTGCAAGAGCGAGGGGCTGTGCAAGAGAGAAGGGATGTGCAAGAGCGAGGGGCTGTGCAAGAAGGGCTGTGCAAGCGAGCAGGGCTGTGCAAGCAAGAAGGGCTGTGCAAGAAGGGCTGTGCAAGAAAGCAGGGCTGTGCAAGCGAGCGGGGCAGTGCAAGCGAGCACGGTGTGCGCCCGAGCAGCACTCCCGAGTTGCACAAACACGTTCCGCTCCAGCCAGACTTTCTGGCAGCTCCCGGTTCCCGGAGGCCGGTCCCGTCGGGGACGTCACCAGCGTCCTTTGGCCCTGCCCTGCGGGCACCCCGGCTTTGCGTGGATTGCTGGCTAATGGGGTGGAGCTAGCACGAGTGCCTCCTATTAATGGGGCAGAATATAAACAGAATGAAGCCTTCATTTCCCGGGCAGTGATTTCATTATTAATATACTTTACAGTTCACAGGTTGTTCATTTGCTCCCGTGTTTTCTCAGCTGGTGTAATCGGCTGCTCCGAGTGAGAACAGTCATAAAATTTCCATTTCCAGTCGAATGTGCGTCCAATTCGCCGTGAAATGTTCTCTCTGTCGTGAATATTAAGCGCGTGAGGAGTCAGTAGCCGCGGGATTAGGCAGGGCAGGTTGCCAGGCCCCGCTCCCGCCGCCGGGAAGGCGAAGGGCGCTCGGAGCTCGCGGGGAGCGGGCGAGGAGCAGAGAGGAGACGGTGGCCAAAGTGGTGGCCAAGGAGGAGAGAATGGCAGAGAAAGGTGCAAAATCGCAGGAGGCGGTTTGGGGCTCCCGTGGCGCCCTAGCAAGCGAGCCAGCACAGGGACCCGTTGCGGGCGGACGCGCCGGGAAGAGCGAGCGGCTCCCGTGGAAATCCCGCGGGTCGCGCGGCCGGCYGCTCCGTTCCCTTCCGCCGCCGCCGTCCTCCGTGCCGGGAAAAGCTGCCTCTTCCCCTCCCGTCCCTTTTGCTGCCGAGTCAGGATAATGATAGTCTTATTCTGATCCCCTGAACTTGCCCATCTGCCCGGTGAAACGATGGCCATTCCTCTTCCTCCCGGCCTCTGTCTCTCGGYCTCTTTTGTTTTCCTCCTCCCGCAGCCTAATTTAGAGTGGCAGCAGTGCCGGAGCCCGTGGCTTCTTCCCCTCCTGCCGCTCTGATTTACAGCGGCTTTTCCTCCCCTGCTATAGCGTTTGCCAGCCCCGGCACGTGCCCGGATCCCGTTTCCCCTCGCCCCCGGCCGGCGCATCCGTCTCGCCGCCCGCCCGCCCGTATATTTCCCCGGCTCCTCTCCATAAGCGGCGCTATCGCCAGCGCCGCTCCCGGAATGGAGACGTCAGCGCCATAAAGCACGAGGGGACAGCGCAAGGCCACTGGGCTGGAAAATAGCGCGTCTGGAAAAATAAAGACGGGATAAAGATGATGGAGAGGCGCGAGCGGCCCTCGCCCCGCGGCGCCGCGCGGGCTCCCCGGGACACGGCGTGCGGAYGCGCAAGGGAGGCCCGGAGCGTTTCCCGCTGCCGTGGATGCATTTAGGCCGCTCCGGCTGCTCGTTTCCCCTCTGGCACCTCGCCGGCACCGCGACGCTCCCCAGGGCACCCCATTGCCACCCTCCGGAGAGCCGCGCGCCCAGGAGCGAGGGCCCAAATTCCACCAAGCGCCCGGGGGGAAAACACCCCTTGGCTTTGACTTACGGCACGGCGCGCGCTTGCACGGGAGCAGCAGCGGCTTCTGCCGCCGCGCGGGGCCATGAAAGATGAATGAGGGCCGCTGCCGGGAGAGGGCACGCGGGAGGAGCGCTCGCTGCGGCGACGCCGTCCTCTCTCACCTTGCGAGCGGCAGCGCGGCGGGGGACGYGGCCGCGTGCCGGGAGCCCGCGGGACGCGGCGGCATCGCGCACGGATGTGGGCTCCTCCATSCGGAGCGGCTCCGGCGGGAGCGCGCCGGAGSCGGCCGTGCCGGCGGGCGGAGGAGGAAGCCGCCTGGCTCTGTGCTTGTAATAATATGTGGATATCGTTAAGGAGAGCGGCCCTGTAATGAGCACTAAAGCCCTCTTTTGCACGAGCTGACATCACTCAAGTGCTTGGCGAGCTCTGGCCACTTGCGGCGCCGCCCGAACGGACCCCGCTCCTCGCTTTGGCCAAAGGAGGGGCGCGTTGGTGTCCGGGTCCATTTGGCACGGTCGGTCTCGTCCCAGCCCGGAGTGGCATCCGTGGGGGCTGTCCCCAGCGCTGTCACCACGGGGCCGYGGCGCGCGTGGCGCTTCCGGCGGCGTCTGGGCGCGTGGCACACGGCAGCGTTTCTTCCTTCGATGCGCTTGGCTTCCGAGCCAGYGGTCCCTTCAAGGGTGGCTGGTCCCGGACTTGTTTTGTTTTGTGCCTCTAAACCTTCATTTCCATAATCCCTTTATTTCYTGCGGAGTTTCTCCTCGTGAACAAAACAGCTCGGTGCCACCGGGTCCGAAGCCGGCGTCGCGCGCAGCCCGACGCACAGGGCCGGGATCGCGGCTCCGGGCCGGAGCACTTGCGGATTCGGGAGCCGCCGCCGGGATGCGAGAGCCGAGCACCCCGCGTCCCGTCGCGTCCCGTATTTATGGGCTTTAGGAGCTGTAAGGAGTTGTCCGTGGTGCCGGTGGGCGCCGTCGCTCGGAGGCGGGAGCGCCACCGTGTTAATTTTTATTGCCAGAAGCAGCCGTAAATTGATAGGCGCGAATCGCCGCGGGGGCCGTAATTAACCGGCTCCTATTTCCCCTCCAAAAGGAGCGATGTTTCACGCTCCTACTCGGACTCGGCCGGAATCGGCCGCTGTCAAGAGCGGCCGTAGCCAGTATAGAGATTTATAGACCTTGGAGGTAAATATTGACTAATGGGCAGCTTGGCTTAATGTTCACCTTGAAGGGCAATAAATTGCGCTATTGATTGAGGCCCGCTGTCAATATTTGTATTGTTGTAAACATTTTAATAAAATTATCTCCATAAAATATCCGCGCYCTCCAGCGGGTCCCAGTGCTTCTGGCTCAGGGGGCCCAGAAGCGGGTCCACGCTTCCCGGTTCCCTCGGTTTTTCCTTGCTCTCTGGCATCCCGCGCTCCGTAGGCACCGGCTCTTGCTTCCAACAGCATCATCCCGCGGGACCCGGTCCCGTTCCCGGTGCCGTCGCGTAACCCGGAGCCGGGCGTGCGCGCAGCGCGTCCGCCCGTGCCCTCCTTCCATCGGCAGGCAGCGCTGTGCTCCCGAGCAGCCGATTCTAGGTCAGCCATAAACGGGATTTATGTATTTTTTTCCCCTCCCTCTGCTTTATTTCTCTTTCTTTCTTTCTTTMTTTTTGTGGCGCGCCTTGCTGCAGGACAGGCGGGATCTCCGAAAGGCAGTTTTTGCGTCTCATAAGGGTGTTGATTTGAGGATGGYGCCTGTAGATGCTGCCCTCGGGTGCTGCCGCGCGCCATCCCGGTGGGAATCGCATCCGTGGGCTGCGGAATCAGCAATTCCGCACTTAAAACGACCCACTTTGCCCCCATCCATGCGGATGGGCCAGGGAGGAAGCAGAACCCCAGCAGGGTCCGTGGCAGAGGGGCACGGGGATTTAGGGGCCCGGGGMTCCTCTCGGAGCCCCCGGGACCCGCGGTCGCTCTCCGTCCGTCGGCGCTCCGTGCCAGAAACAGCTGTCCGGAGCTAATTTATTTCCTAATGCTGCAGCAATGTTAATTTATAAATTACACCGGTAATTCGAGCTGTTATTAATTTCAGCTGGTGTAGGGCAAGCCTAATTAAAATATGACACCAATTGCCACACGTACGTAGCCAGGACTGCCGTTGTTTAAAATTTACGGGAATAGGAAGCGTGACAGCGGCCTCGGAGACGCCGCGCGCGGTCACRAGAGCGTCCCGGGCGCCGCGGGCGGGATAGGGACCGAACCGCGTCCTTATCGGGCGATTCCCGGGAATACATTGGCCAAGCTCTCCTTTTTTCCTTCCCCCTGCAGCCGTGGGCTTCGTGAGCGAGGACGAGTACCTGGAGATCACGGGCATCACGCGGGAGCAGTCGGGCGAGTACGAGTGCAGCGCCTCCAACGACGTGGCCGCCCCCGTGGTGCAGCGCGTCAAGGTCACCGTCAACTGTGAGTGGCCCGAGGGCCCCGCGCCGGGACCGCTGCTTCCCGAGCAGCCCGTGTTTTCCCCGGTTCTTCCCTGCCTCTTTCTGCGGGCTGCGTGCCGCTTGGCGCCTCCTCCTCCGCGCCGCCCTCGCTTCCACGCTGCACGGATGCCCTCTGGGGAGAGGGAGCAGCGAGCAGTAAATAAGGCGGATTTTTTTCCCCCTAAGAAGGGCAAAAAGGGGAGCGAGAGGAGAGGCGAGGGGGGCCCGGCGCTCACGGCGCACGCGCGTCTCCCCGCAGACCCGCCGTACATCTCGGACGCCAAGAGCACCGGCGTGCCCGTGGGCCAGAAGGGCGTCCTGCAGTGCGAGGCCTCCGCCGTGCCCTCRGCCCAGTTCCAGTGGTTCAAGGACGACAAGCGGTAAGGCCGTGTCCCTCCGCGGGGTGGCGCGAGCCAGGCGGCCACCGCGGGCGGCTCCAATGCAGCTGTGGGGCGCCCTCGGAGCCATGGGTTCATCAAGCGGAGCGGGGGATGATATTRGAGGGCCGGCAGCTCCCCGGTGGAACCGGGTGGTCCGCGAGAGGCGCGCGCTCCGAAGAGGAGACGGGTGACGGGTTTGGGAGCGTCCAAGCCCCAGGGCAACGCGGGAAGAGCCCCCGGGAAGCCGTCCCCTCACGCGCCCCTTCCTTCCCCGCCGCCAGGCTGGCTGAAGGACAGAAAGGGCTGAAGGTGGAGAACGAAGCCTTCTTCTCCCGGCTGACCTTCTTCAACGTCTCCGAGCAGGACTACGGCAACTACACCTGCGTGGCCTCCAACCAGCTAGGGAACACCAACGCCAGCATGATCCTTTACGGTGAGCCCTACGGTGAGCCTTTCCGCGCCTCCGCCGCGGCGACCGTGCCGGGGCTTTGTCCCCACGCGTCCATCTCTGTCGTTTGTCTCCGTGGGAGAGGTGGCATCCGGCAGAGCCGTCCCCTCTCCTTGCGCTCCGGTTCGCGGGTCCGCGGCACGCGGGGAACGCGGAGCCGGCATCRGGTTTCCGGCGTCTCGGCACGATGAGCGCACCGCGACGGGAACGGTCGTGCCGTTTTCACGGGAAGAGGGGATGGATCCGAGCGGAGCGTGGAACCGAGCGCGCGGCCTCAACGCTCCCCTCGTAGTTGTAATGAGTTTGCCGGAAAGATGCCGAGGGTGCAACACGGGAGAGGCTTTGCACCTTGATSCGGGAGCTGTTTTCTGCGCGTGCCGGAGGCGCGCTCGGAGCGATGCGTCCATCCGATGCCGGTCCAGGAGGGCTCTCCTTGCTCATTGCATTTGTCAAGTCTCTGCATGGTGGCCCCTCATACAGAGCAAAAACGTACCTTTGTAGCCTGTCCGGTTATCCTTGGCCTCGCGCCCAACGGCCCCGCGGCGAGGGGCGAGGGTGAGCCAACGCGAGCATCCTTATCTTGGAAATGCCGGGGCCCGTCGTGGCTCCCGGGATCGGGATCTTCCATTGCGGGAGAAGAGAAGCGCCCTCCTCGYTAGGGAGGGAGCTCTCGGCTCTCCCCTTTCTAACCCGTGGGACGCGCGGCTGGCACGGACGGGCAGGGCAATCGGCTGTGCGAGCGGCCGTGTGTTGTGTATCTGCCCTTCTCTCTCTCCTTCGCGCTTGTAACCTTGTCGGGATGGCAATGCCGGGCGGGTTAACGCCCCCGCGCCCTCCTCGAAGGCGAGGACGGGGACAAGGCGGTCCCCAAAGAGCCCCGTGTGGCAGCGGCTCCTGCGCCTTAACGCTGGCTTGTTCTTTAATTTTTTAGAAGAGGCCACTGCCGCTCTGACACCCCGGCAAGGTCAGTAACGCGGGGCCCCGCGGCGCGAGCGCTTCCGCGCGCCCGCTTCTCCGCGCTCRGGGACAAGCCCCCGTCCCCGAGGCGCTCGGTGGCTTCGGTGCCGTCCTCGCTCCTCCGGCACGGC